TTAATCAGACCTGGCGAGAAAATTATAATATTCTAGTTTTGAATTCCAGAGCAGCTTGGGTACTTAAGTTGGTGAGTACCTATACATGTACTTACAATAATTCATCAACACTGGCTTCTTTTCCAGGAAGAAAAATCTACACCCCTACCAATTTTGATACCTTGAGGAATCCTGACTTTATTCATATATGGGCTCTGGAAGAAATCTCACCCTAAAATTACACGCTGGGTCCTCCCAATCTAGAAAATATATGGAATTTGAATGCATACTTTTTTTTAATTATCTACCTTATTACATAACCTTTTACCATTTTATTTTTAATGTGTTACCTTAGATCCTAGTCTTATTTTATCTGATATTATTTTATATATATATATATACTTGTTTGTTTGTTAATATCGAAACAAATGAATGATCACTTATCGATTACTACTTTGTTCAACCCTATTCTTTGTTATTCTATTACCATTTTTTATACGTATGTATACTGAATAAAGTTCTTATTATACTAGCATACCTATAAACAAGAAGGAAACACTCAATTCAAATATCCCGTAATGCTCATATCATCAATCCACTACAAGTCGGTCAGTCTAACATAATTGTTATCATTAATTTTGGTTTTCATGAAATTTTAATCATATATATTTCCTACATTGGTTGATTCCTTGATTTGAAAATGAGTAGGCAACCCACAATATACCATTGATGTCTGCTGTGTTGCCTGGTAATTGAATGAGATGATGTCTTCGGTGGGAATGAATTGAAAATGAGTGCCTGATATGATTACTAGATTATTTGACCCTATACACCTAATTATATGATTGAAAAGATGATAAAAATTATCACATATCACCCAAGAACATAAAAATAATCAGTATGTACAATTTAAACGTTACACCTTGAAGAACAATATCATGAGGTCAATTTTCCTGTAAAAATTCCTCACCATGACTTCAAAAAAATCTCACTCTCATCATTTTGATGAAAACGCACAATACTGTTTGAAATAATTGTTGTCTCCAAAGACCTGATGATATTGATAGTCATTCATACAGGTCGCTAGTTGGTGAAGATCGCACAAATAATAAGTGGCTGAGGTGTTAAGGAAATCCAGATACGCTGTAAATTTGTTGATATTGAATATTTATTCATCTGCATCCATATGCATCATCATTATCAACATTCAAAACATTGTCTTTCGATAATCAGGGTGTTATAATTGATGTAGCGTCGACAGATCGCATGAAATATCTGGGAATAACGATCGACCCACATTTAAGATGGAATGAACACGTGATCGACGTTACTAAAACGCTGAGACAAAATAAATGATGTTCAAATTCAGTTATTTGAAACGGGTACTTGATATCTCTCACTTGAAAACGGTATACTTCTCGCTGGTGGAATCGCGTCTTCAATATGCTATACTCAGCTGGGGTGGTATTCTTAACACTCACCTGAAGAAATCAGCTACGCTCCAAAACAAAATTATTAAGATAATGTTCAATAGAAAATTCACATATCCTACGACCTCTCTGTTTCGCGAAGCTGCAGTCTTAGACATGAGAAAACTTCATATTATGTACAATGTCATCACTTATATATATAAAAATAAAAGTATACTCAATAAATCAAAGCATGTTTATGAAACTAGAAACAAGAACAATGTCCAAACAACTCTTACAAAAAAATCAGTAGGACAGCGATGCTTCTCGTATTTGGCTGGAAACATTTTCAATTTCCTACCAGATATCTATAGATCTTATATTCACAAAATAAACTCCTTTCCATTGGTGAAAAAACGTTTCAAATCATTTATTGTAAATTTGGATATCCACACAGTGAATGATCTGATAGAGGCATGAACGTTCGTATAACTATATTGTGTGAATATGTTGAATTGTTATGTAATGTCTATCTGTTCTCACAAATTGTCTTTTCATTTTTGTATTCGTATTATTTTTTTTGTTTTCCAACAACCCAAGAGGTTTATGGAATTTCCATGTTTATTTTGGTCTTCTCATTTGAAAAATGTTGTATCAATTTATATTTATTATTTATTCTGAATAAACATTATTATTATTATTATTATTATTATTATTATCATCTATTTGAGAGGACGTCAATTTCAGTGGTGTACGCGCATTTCTTCTTGAAAGTTGCTCATATTGATTTTGGATTTTTCAGTCTCTGAAGGTGATCAAGGAGGCCTTGGTTATAAAAAATGGACGCCGCTTAGCTACAAAATACACCTTCATGTCCTCTACATCAAAAAGTGTTGTGAATATTGCGTCAAAAATAACAAAATTATGATGGTGGCCCGCTTGCATTTGAACATTCCGATATAGGATTCGGCACCTGCTTAAATTCTATTGGTCGATTTTGATTTATCTGACCAATTGAAGGCGGAGTGCCGAAATTCGTACCAGAATGTTGAGCGGTGCTGAAACACTGTTCGGAATGTTGATGAAATGAAAGCTCGAGATAACGTGTAATGAACGCATTTTTCAATAACTTTACAAATTTTCATTTATATTCGTGATGATTGTTTGGTATAAAAGTTTGAAATGAATGATTATATGTAATAAAATGAGATAATAAATTCGAAATAACAATCATTATAGAACACTTAATGTCTGTTAATGTCCTATTCCATGGGACTTAGCGTTTGGTTGATTTCTCGCCACGTCACCTGCCAAACAGCGTCTTCGTCTTCTTCGAATACATTTCATGAGCAAATAAAAAAATATTTAAAAAACATAATATTGTTACCTGTACAAGAATCTTTTAATATTTGTAGGGCCTGATTTGAAACGCCATAATGTAAACGACTGAGCTTTATAATCATTCATCCATTGCACAACTTCTGTTTCATTCTTCATATTGCCCCTATACAAATTTTCTGAAACTTTAATTAATCTCTCCATAATTATCAGTGATTTATGGTATACTTCACTAATTGATGATTGCACTTAACTATAATAACGAGATTGCAGGTTTGTTGTTAGCATATGGGAACGACGGTATAATCAAAAAATGTGCACTATGTGCAGGTTAGGTAAATGCGAGGGTAAATGTTAACAAAAACCGCGCAAAATGCAGGGCAACATTCCGACCTGCTTTTCAGCACCGCTCAATATTCTGGTACGGATTTCGGCACTTCGCCTTTAATTGGTCAGACAAATCAAAATCCGCCAATGAAATTTAAGCAGGTGCCGAATCCTATACCAGAATGTTTAAATGCGGCCCGCTTTGGATGAAGCGAATAGTGGATTCATCTTAACAAAATAAGTATCAATGAATGTAGGAAAGTGGGGAGTTTTATTTTCGCAAAAGTATAGAGGGGAACCAAACAAACCCTATATCTAGAATCAGGGGGGAACGTGTTTGTGTCCATCTTGTTACCTACACGACTTTGGACGAAGTCACCTGACTCGGCTTGAAGAGGAGAAAGACATGCGTCACACGTCATATGTCAACAGAAAGAACAAGCTGCATGAGACATACTGACATACTGGAAATTACTACTCAATAATTGGATATGTCGAAAAACAACTGATTACAAATTTATGATTGCTTAGCGTTCAATAAATTGATGAATTGCAAACACATAATATTGCGGTGAAGAATTCGGAGGAATTGGAGGAATATATACTCGCAACTACGAGTTACCCACGAACTGTGAATACAATCTCTTCAGTATACTCTGGCCAGTCCTCATCGGGATATCCTTGTATTCATATGGGTCAACTACAATGCGAGTATCTTGAATAACTCGTAGTTGCGAACAATTACAAAACCTCTTCAGTAGTAATTGATGCGAATCTCCTGAAGTATTCGCGACAAGGCTATGTGTGAGAATATCTCGATCAACTCGGTTTAGCGAATACTAAGAGATCACGCCAGTGGCAATTGATGCGAATATCTTGAAGTAATCAGATCGAACAACTCGTCTGAAGGTTTATTGTATGCCAATTTCTTCGTGGGATATTGCTTTGACCTCTATGAGAATATCTCGGCGGCAGACATTTGGAGGTAGAATAGCACTTTCGGCAATCGCTCAATGAAGTAAAGAAAGGCATCACAATTTCCTACAAGGAGGTTGCCGAGAAATCTTTAGGACCTCTTCGAATTGGCTGGTATATAAACAAAATAGTTTGAGATGAGGATTGAGAGAAAGAACAATTACTATTTCTCAGATATCAGAAACTCATATAATATTATCATGATTTTCTTTCATGATTATCCTCAATTGCCTGTTCTGTATGTGTTTCTTCATGGCATTTCAAACAAAATTGAATTTTGCTTCGATTCAAATCTTGTTGTTCTTATGCCATTAAGCTGTGATAATTGAATTATTACAAATTTCCTAATGGGTATTACTTCAATTCCTTCGATTCATTGATTATTGAATGAAATTGTTTGATATATCATAAAACTGATGAGATATCTGGATAATCTCAACAATCCACAAGTGCAATCAGCGATCAATTAATTTCATTCGTCACTTCTGATGAACTGGAGGAAAAAGGAATGAAAAATCACTTATATGTAATATTGAACAGGAATCAATGTCTGAGTTCACTCAAGGTGTGGTATTACCGAAAGCGATTCATCAGTTCAATCTTTGATATTTTAATCTTGTGCAATTAGGATTTCAATAAAGTCAATTTTGGCGTTCGATGAGGTTCAATAAGGTCAATTTTGGCGTTCTGTGATTTCATTATATCAGATAGGTAACCCCAAGTTATTTATCAGTTGTGAATATTTCAACACTCTGGGTAATATATGTTCAATGTTCGTGTGAAAAACCAGTTTCAGAACGATCATTCAAAATGTAGTACCTACCAAGATACCTGAGATGATAATTATGTTCTCAGAACTATGTCGAATCTGGGTTCGTGATTCTCTTTGTATATGTAAAATAGTTTTAGATTAACAGCAAAACCACTTCTCTACTCAACATGATAGAATAGTTGGGAATACCACTATAAATACACAATACACAAAATTTCATATATAGTGTTCGTCGAGTTTTCATCAAGAAATTATCATGTTGGCGAAAATTATAATTGTGTTTACATTGTTGTGCGTCAGCGTACATCTTATTCAAGGTAACTTCTATCATTGAATCATTTTTCATCAGAATGTGAATAATATATCCTTAATACTCTGATAAGTACAAAATATAATTGAGAACTGTACCTATCCCGTGGACAGTGAATATACAGTGTGATCTGATATGGTTGCCCTGGTGATCTAGGAAATGGTGCGAGAAAGATGAATTCTGCTCGATAGAAATACATTTACACATTCGGCACATTCACTCCATAACACTTCGCCAAAAAGAACGTGTTTCTCCTGGACCTATTGTTCGATTCAGATGTTCGAGTGCTCATTCTTCTGAGAAATCAATGATCTTAAATTGTATCGGTCCTGATTGGATGGATAAACATTTTGTATCCACCAGAGATTTTTGAAAATCACAAAAATTCTGGATACTCCACCATTTTGTTTCTTTCAATTATTGGATGTTCAAATGATCCATTGTGTACTACAGTTCTTCATCTCTGAAATAACTCTAAGAAATCCAAATTCGATTGAATTTCCATGAAGCCTGAAGCAAAATGATAATAATCGTTCAAACGAGAATAGCACATTCACTCCATAACAAATTGCAAAGAAATGAGTGTATCTACCGGTCTATTTGTTCGATTTCGATTATCGAGTACTCATCCTCTTCAGAAATGAATAGCCTAAGATGACATCGGTACAGGTTTGAAAAAATCTGATTTTGTTTTTCTCCATCAGCGGTTTTTGTAAATGACAATACTTTGGTAGATTCCGCCATTTTGTTTTTGTTCATTATGAAATTTTAAAATATTCCACTGTATACTATAGCCTTTTAGCTATAAAACGACGCCAGAAAATTCGATTTCGGTTGAGAAATGATGAAACCACGAGGAAAATAAAAACTTCCGGTTTTTTTGTGACCACCCGATATACCGTGAGGACCAAAAGTCCGTCGCCCCCCCTGTAACTTCTTTATTCTACATAAAACAAAGAAATGTGGAATACATAAGTTGTAGGGTTTCATTCGATCTCTTCAATGGCTTAAGTTTCATTCATACAGAGTGTCTCTAAAAAGCACGGTGACTTAGAAGTTAATTCTTTTGAATAGGACACCCTGTATTTCATTGCATTTTCAGATTCTCTCTGAAGATTTGATCACATCGATGTATCATACTTGGGGTCTAGCGGAAATGATTACAGAGATATAGGGTGTGAAAAATCGTCATTTTTCAACTTTAGTAATTTTTTGTCGAAACTATTCATGATTGGTCAAAACGGCTCACATGTCCCTATCTCAACTTTTGATTAACTATCTACTGATATTTAATTAGGACATATTTATACCGGGTGATCAGGATTCTGAATTCTGCACCATCCTGTATTTGTTTCAATTAAATGTCAGTAGATAGTTGATCAAGAGTTGAGATAGGGACATGTGAGCCGTTCTGACCAATGATGAATTCTTTCGACAAAAAAAATTCCTAAAGTTGAAAAATGTCGATTTATCACACTCTATATCTCTGTAATCATTTCCGCTAGACCCCTAGTGTGATACATCGATGTAATCAGATCTTCAGAGAGAATCTGAAAATGCAATGAAAAATAGGGTGTCCTATACAAAAAAATTAACTTCTAAGTCATCGTGCTTTTATAGAGACACTCTGTATGAATGAAACTCAAACCAATAAAGGAATCGAATGAAACCCTACAACTTATGTATTCCATATTTCTTTGTAATATGTAGAATGAAGAGGTTACAGGGGGGGGCGACGGACTTTTGGTCCTCACGGTATATAGAGAAATACATTGAGAATTCGCATTCTCCATGTGATGAAAATATTAATTCTTCCTTGGTTCAGTCAACAGAAAACAATTACTTTCCTGGCTATATGCCACGACGAATATTGAATTACATCTATTGAACACACGATGAGCATTTTGAAACAAAATCTTCTGAAGTAGATAATTTGCATTATTCATCATATAAAGATATGCATATTATATAATATTACTCTAAATATTCAACAGAAAACAACTACTTTTCACGCCACGTCGATCATTGTAATTCCTGAAAAACTGCCAGTGTTGGTACACAAAGTTCTTCAAGTATGTTGGGCCACTCACTTTATTAAGAAGTATTGAGAAAGCTCATCAACTGTATGTAAGAAAAAATGCAAATGAATTCGATGAATAAGTTACTGAATAATTCCGAAATTCAATTTTGTTAGTAACTATTCAATCAGGTGCTTATTCTACATTATGAACTTTTTATTACTATATTTTTGTTGCTATCAGGTACCCAAGTTCTGTGTTTTGTTCATTAATCACTGTTGATATTGGGTTTGACCTCTTCATGGAGAAATTTAATGAAATATTTCTTTAATTGGAACGTTTTTTATATGAAAAATCCATAGCCCACTATTAAAATTCAATATTTCAGTGATTTTTGAGAATTTTCGAAAATTTCATCTTCATTCATTATTCATCATTTTGAAGGCAATAAAATTAGGAATTCGATGAGCTTAAGAAATATAGGGTGTTCCATTCAAAAAATATTAAGTTCTAGTCGTATCTCCATAACCAAACCATGAAAAAAGAATTCAAGTGCGCCACTGGATTCTGCGTAAAATTTTCTAGGCGATAAGATTCTGATTCGACATTTTTTCTGAGAAACTTTGTAGATTTAGAGGGGGTCCAAAGAGTATAAATTTTCGAAATCGCCATGTATCTCATAAACGGAAACAGTCTTGCAAAATCTGATTGAGCCATATAGAGTTTCACAAAAAAGTGACACAGGACCGCGGAAACCGCAAGGTTCAATCTCCAACGATAACTGAGATATCACGCAAAAGCATCGAAAACTGGACACACTGTACACTTCAATCGAGGCGAGCATTGGAAGGTTGGAAGCGCCACCTGGTGGCAAAAATGCAACAAAATATTTGTTTGACATATTGCTCTCTTGGGTTCTGTTCAACAAACTAATTTATTTGAAATAACAACATATTTCTTGATAGTGATGTGTTGAATCAACAAAATATAATGTTGTCATAATCAATTCAATTTTATCGAATAGAAAGAAACCTTCGATTGGTTGTACAATGAAATTATTTTTGACTCAACAAAATATGATGTTGTATTCAGTTGAATCTTTGTCAAAATTCATTTAATTTTGCCGAATAGACAAAATGCATATGATTGATTGAACAATGAGATGATAAAAAAAATTTTATGTCAACTATAAATGTTGTTGAATGAAATGAAAGCAAGTGAGCAAATATTTCAATCAAATTATTTTGTCTCTTTGAATAGGTTGCTTGTTTACAAAAAATATGACCAAATTTATTTTGTTGGTGCAACAAATTTTTTTTTTCGTGTGAAGAGGAAAAAGTTTGTACTCTGCAATGCACAGCGACGTGCGTGTGTAATGATAAATCAGACGTCGAACCAGTGGAAAATGTATCCCAGTCAATAATTGCTAGATCTCTTAACTAAGAGATCCAGGATGAACAGAGTTGCCCCAATTGTCAGCAGGAGCGAGACAGTACTGTTTCGACCCACCAGGTCTCATCAGCCGCTCTCGGTCTGCTGACAACTGGGACTACTCTACGCTTCGGGTATATCACCCATTCCGAAGACGCAGGGTATAACATAAAGTCATAGTCATGTTGTAGCCATCTAGTGGCAAAGCTCTAAGGTAGGATACAGAAATCGTGACTCACACTGTATGGCGCTGCCATCTATAGTCACACGTACAGACCCCTACGTCCATACGCCACAGAGTGGTACTACAAGTAAACCACTCTGCTGACAGTTGAGATCTAGCAGTTGAATAGGTGGTGGAAAAATTCCACTCAAGTATGTCAGGTAGTGCCATCTGTCAGCAGAGTGGTTCACTTGTAGTACCACTCTGTACCGTATAGACAGACGTAGGGGTATGTACGTGTGACTATAGATGGCAGCGCCATTCAGTGTGTGTCGCAATTTCTGTATCCTACCTTAGAGCTTTGCCACTAGATGGCTACAACATGACTATAACTTCATGTTATACCCTGCGCAATCAATAATTGGTGAACTGTTGAGATGAGCATCATATCTCATTTGGGAGCAAATTATCCGGAATTATTTGTATCTATAAATAAAAACATTTCAAAAAATTGGTATCAGATTCATTTGTGTTGTTAGGGCTGCCGAATACTCTAACGTGTTTCATAGACCCGGTTATACTCATTCCAGTAATGAAATATTCAGATTACCTACAGGCTTCCAGATGACCACACCCCTCTTCTTCGAACAGGATCCTGGATTTGTCACTGATATCGAACTTTTATCTTCATTTCTAGGTGCTCTCAACTGTCCCGAAAACGAATTTTCTGGTTGTGAACCGTGTGGAGGGCAGGCCACATGTCAAAATCGCAATCCTGGAGAAGGAAAAGCTTGTATTCTGCGATGTACAGCGTCGTGCGTGTGTAATAATGGATTCATCAGACGTCAAACCAGTGGAAAATGTATTCCAATCAATGATTGTTAAACTGTTGGAATAAACATTATACCCCATTAATTTGTCAAATTATTTGAAATTCCTCATTCAAATGTGGAAAAATATTTCGAAATATTGGTTACAGATGCATTCTCATTCTTGATCAATTGTATATTCGAATCAGTTTGGCCGAAATAACCTTTCTAAATCTTGGACATTTCGGTCATTTCAATTTCTCTAGATCATTGAAATTTTCTCTCCTCGATCGTCTTCATACTGGATGTCTCAAAATCACATAGGGAGATTTTTACTGGAGATTCTAGAACAAAAAATTGTAAAAATCGTTTATATTAACATGGGTCAACAAATGGGGTATTCTTTTCATGCCTAATTTGAAAACTCCTTGATTACTGAGAAATTTGCATCAGGAAGGGAGGAAATGAGAGGGGTGGAGCAAATTTTTCTCTGTTTATGCTATTATCGGCAATTTGACTAGGAAATATATGAACAAAACGAATTTCACTCAAAAATGATACACTTGTTAGCACCCACCATATTCGAGATAAATCGATCTTGAAAATTGTAACGTTCAGATAATAGTAGTAGCTTGGTTCTGTTACTTGCTAGGTAACCATGTTTGACAGCGATAGGATTTTGTATAATAAACTTATGATGATATTGTCAGTTGGATTTCGATTAATAAACTGTATCGAAACCTGAGTAATCTTGGACATTATATTGGCGACGAGGATAAACAGGCGTATCAATAAAATGAAAGTGGAGCTGCAACTAGCGTTATTTCTGAGCAGAAGTATCTGCATTTTTTCAAAAACATTCAATTGACACCGACTAATTTGAATCTTTTGAGTTACGTTGGGGACAAAATAAGGCCTCTTGGAAAAATAGAATTGACTGTCGAATATGAAGATAAGAGAGAATTGCTAGACTTTTACGTTATTAAAAATGGAGGGCCAATTTTGTTGGGAAGGAATTTTCTAAATATTTCCAATATCGGGTTTTGCAAATTGAATTATTTTGGGAATAAAATCAATAGATTGAAGTTAGATATCCCCAGTTCCCCAGTGTTTTTACCGACAGGATAGGAACATTCAATAAGTTTGAAATCGAACTTAAGGTCAGTGATAATGTAAAACCTAAATTTTGCAGACATAGGAACATACCGTTTGCTATCAAGGAAAAAGTTGAGAAAGAATTAGATAGGTTAGTTGAAAATGGTGTATTGATTCCAGTAGATAACTCGAACTGGGCTACACCTGTGGTACCAATATTGAAAGATGATATAAGTCAATTCGCTTATGTGGAGACTATAAAATCACGATCTATCCTGTGATCGAAAATAATAAATATCCATTGCCTCGAATTGAAGAGATTTTCTTTAAGCTGGAAGGTGGGGAAACATTTTCAAAGTTGGATTTGAAAAATGCGTACCAACAATTACTTTTACATGAAGGGTCACGAGAATTTACTACAATTACAACACATAGGGGTCTTTTTCAGTATACTAGATTACCATTTGGTATAACAGTTGCTTGCTCGCTCTTTCAGCGTATAATGGAAAATTTGTTATGTAAAGTTGACGGGGTAGTGGTGTTTCTTGACGATATATTAATTACTGGAAGGAACAATGAGGAACACATGATTCGGTTGAGAAAAGTTCTAGAGTTATTGAGAGATAGTGGATTGACCATTAAACTAGAAAAATGTTCATTTTTTGAAGACTCTGTGACATATTCAGGCTACATGATATCTAGATCAGGGTTGCAGAAATGTGAAGACAAGATAATAGCTGTTAAGAATGCTCCAATTCCAATGAATGTTGATCAGTTGAAATCGTTTTTAGGAACTGTGAACTATTATCACCGTTTCATTCCAAATATGTCCCATGTTTTGCATCCCTTATTTGAATTAACGAAACATAATGTCGAATGGAATTGGTCGAAAGAATGTGATTCAGCAAACAAGAAGATTAAACTGTTAATGTGTTCTCCTCAGGTATTAGCACATTATGACCCAGAATTACAACTGATTCTCACAGTAGATGCTAGTAATAATGCTTTAGGGGCTATCATTTCCCAGAAAGATGAGCAAAATGTAGAAAGGCCAGTGGCTTACAGTTCTAGAGTTTTGTCGGATAGTGAGAAAAGTTATTCTCAAATTGATAAGGAGGCATTAGCTATAGTTAATGGTGTTAAGAAATTCAGTCAGTATCTGTTAGGGAGGAAGTTCATTTTAAAGACAGATAGTAAACCATTAGTATCAATTTTGGACCCAAATCGGGAATACCGGTAATGTCAGCAAATCGTTTACAGAGGTATGCTTATTTACTATCCTGTTATGACTTTGATATAGAATATGTCAGATCGTGTGATAATTCGGCAGATTTTCTATCCAGATTACCATTATATTCTATTCAGATAGATGAATCAGAATATAGTTATTTAAATTTTTTTCTAGACAATTCCGATTTGCGTATAGATATCGAAGACATTAAACAATGTACCAGAAATGAATATATTGACTGAAGTTTTCAAGTTTACTAATTCTGGTTGGCATAATAGTATTTCAAATGATGAATTGAGAGCTTATTTTCATAGAAGGAATGAGATAAGCATTGAAAATGGTATCCTTTTATGGGGATACAGGGTAATTATTCCCAAAATATTGAAAAATAAAATTTTGAAAGAGTTACATAAATCTCATTTGGGTATGGTTGAAATGAAGTCACTAGCTCGGTCTTATGTATGGTGGCCAACTTTGGATACTGACATAGAAAATATTTGTAGAAATTGTGAAAGTTGTGTACAAATGAGACCTAGTCCGCCCAAGGTACCTTTGAATCATTGGTCGGTTACAAATGGTCCATGGGAACGTATTCACATCGATTATATGGGCCCTCTTCATGGAAAAATGTTATTGGTCATTATAGACAGTTTCTCCAAATGGTTGGAAGTCTTCATTTTACCATCGACAATCTCATCATTATGTATCGAAAAATTACGAGAGACTTTCGCAAGATTTGGTTTACCGAAAGTATTAGTATCAGATAATGCAAAATATTTCACATCTTTCGAATTAAAAGAATTTTTAAGATTCACTCCTTGGGTAGTACCTACAGATTTTGCCAAATCCATTTGCAATTTTTTGATAATATATAGGAACACTATGATGCACTGTACCACCAGAAAATCTCCAGCTCAAATAATGTTTGGTCGTGATCTGAGGATTAGGCTAGATTTGCTGAGACCAAAGATGTCTCTGCCAGAGACAAATAAACACATAGTAGAAGGAAAAATTAACATTAAGAATGCTCAAGCGAGGCAAAGAACATTTCATAATAGTAATCGGAAAATAGATTTCCTAGTGGGTCAGTTTGTAAGAGTGAAAGATTATAGAGCAGGGAATCCAATATGGGCAGCAGGGAAAGTAGTAAAGAAAATAAGTAGGGATGTATTATAAGAGGTGGAACTTTGTAATAGTGACATAATTTGGCGAAGGCATGCTAATCAAATGTTGTCATGTAACGTTGATTTCAATGACGGTGATGATATCCAAGTTAAAGGAACAGCTGGGGACATCGTGTTATCGGAGAATTCCAATCCAATGGAAGTACCTTCTAGTAGTGGCACTATTATTGATTCTCATAATACTACGATGTTTTCAAGTCGTCCTAAGCGTACCATGAGGCCTCCAGATCGATTGGTATTGTGATTATTATGTTCAAAGGTATATTTCAGTTTAAGGGAAGGAAGAATGTAATGTTCAGATAATAGTAGTAGCTTGGTTCTGTTACTTGCTAGGTAACCATGTTTGACAGCGATAGGATTTTGTATAATAAACTTATGATGATATCGTCAGTTGGATTTGGATTAATAAACTGTATCGAAACCTGAGTAAACTTGGACATCATGAAAATCTACTGCGTAATAAGAATACTACTTCTTTCAATACTACCATATTATTTTCATTTTTCATCCATTTTTTGCCCCCTCAATATTTTGAATCAAGTTCAACGTACGCGAACAAGTATTTCCCATCTGTATAGTATTTTTTTGGGAAATTCAGGACGCAGCAAAATTTGAAAAACGAATTATGTAGAAAACTGTTAGTCTATCAAAACGAGAATTCTATTCCCAATCAGCCAAAGTACGTCTTAAAGGCGTCTTTAGGACGTACATGTCGGGACATAAGTACGTCTTGAAGACGTACATATTACGCCCAAGAGACGTCTTTAAGACGTCTTTGAAACGTACATTCTCCACTAATATGTACGTCTATGAGACGTTTTTTTAGTTGTTTTTGGTCCATGACCTCGAATTGATTTTTCAAATTACGGAAAAATCACATAGTTTCAGTTGATTTCCACCTGTGCACTGAAGTTAGCAATAGGTGCAGACAAGCAAAAAAAAAGTGAAATAAACGACTTCATCAAACGGTAGACACAAGCGGTCACCCATTCAAGTACTATCCGCGGTCTTTGTTGCTTGACTTCGATGATTATACCATATTCACTTCTCCTGTTACTCTGTTTGTTCTATACATCACATAAAAAGCTTTTACTTAGTTTAACATGTCCTTGTGTCTGTTTGTAATCAAAACGTGCGAGTTAAATTTGACTCACTTTAAATCGTCCGATTGATTTGAAATTTGGCAAGTAAATATTATTCCGGTGACAATTCGTTGTGATATTATTATTGAATGAAAAAAACAGAATGGCGGATCCAATATGTGGCATGTGGTTTTCTGATTATGGTCTGATCTGATTCAGAATTGGCATCTGAAGGATTTAGGGATCAGAGATTATAATTCCTTTTGTCGAAAATGAAAAATCCAAGATGTCGGCTTCAAAATGGCGGACGAGTTTTGTGATTATAGTCCGATTTTATTCAAAATTGATTACTATGGGACTTTTGGGGTCGGAGAATATGATTTTTTTGTAAAAATTCGAGAATCTAACACGAAGGCTCCAAAATGTCGGACGAAAAAATTCAAAAACATCACTTTTGTTGAAAATAAGAAAAAACTGAACAATTGAAAATAAAAAACGTGAAGAGATGACATTT